TTTTAGAGTTTATATGCATTCATATAAATACAAATCATATTTAACTCTGTCATTTCTCAGATATTTTAGCTCTTATAGCATTTTTAAGAATCTTTGTGTATAGGATAATCAACAGATTACTTTTGCTATATTTATATATGTGTGATTTAAATGTATATACATTTATATACATTTATATATGTGAATTTGAGTCTTTTGTATTTATAACTTGTTCCAGAAATGCCTATGGAGATTCTCAGTCATCCAGGTCATGGTTGTCCTCAAGATGCTTTTTCAAAAGGCAACTGGACTTTCTTGTTTTTCTTTGAAGACTTTTCACTTCTCATGCAAGAAGCTTCTTCAGCTCTGACTGGATGGTGGGCAATGGAAGGATTTATATTCCTTGCAGACAGCTATTCATTTGCATTCTTTCAGAGGGTTGTTGGGGCCACTAGAGGTTTATCTCTTGAAAAAGCACCTTTGGATTGCCCCAGAAACATTTCTTATTGATCAAACTAAAATATAAATAAATACTCTTAAGTAATTACAAGTAAAATACTGTAGAAGCAGTGTTTTGATTAAACACCCAGGAAGAATAGCCAGAACAATCTTTATAACTTTACTCTTCAAAAGCCTGTTCGTGTGTTATTTTTCAAGTTAGGACTAGCTTTTTCATCTATTTTTCATCAGCCATTCATAAACTGAACATTTCTTAATAGTTCTATAATAGTACATAAACTGCAGTACCTTAAGGTTTTAAAAGTAAGTAGAGCCTAGTGTGACTTTATACTGTATGTTGGAAACTAACTTGTAACATTTTCGCTAAAAGCAAAGGCACATGTGGTATTATTGTTGTGGAAATCACAGACCTCAATTTGGGCAGTGGTTTAATGTACCTTTTAAACTTTTTTTTTTAAGCCTTTTTTTTTTTGCAAGCCTTTTTCTCTTTAAAGCATTACTACAATTCAAAGCTGCTATTAACTGAAAAGTGTAAGGTGTGTGGATAGGAATGAAGGAATAAATATAGTTCTGTGCAAATTCTGTGTTGGAGACAAAATCATTTTTTTTAAACTTTGTAATTTCTCATCTGCTTAGAATTGAAAGAGCAATGGCAAGATTTAATGCTCTGCTTCTGAGTTTCTAAGAACATTCATTTGGTAGCAGCAAAGAGCAAAATACTGATCTTAACTGGATCGTTCCTATGATCTCGCAGGGCTTCCTTTGTGTTTCCTCTATCAGCATGAGCAAGCTGGCACCCAAACAACACGTATGTTTCTATATTAAGAGTTCTATATAGCTTTTCGCTACGTCATATAAATATTTAGATGTCTATTGTGACATTATTATCTCACTATTTAGATTGTTATTCTAACTATCAATCTAACTATTGTTACATTCTTTTGTATGACTTTTTAAACATTCTTATTTGCAGATTTAAAAAAAAGAAATAGAGTAGTATTTCAGAAGGAAACTATGCAAAATCTTTGCCTCAAACCACAGGAAACTGTTTTGATTGCCTCACAATATATGCCTTTGAAAGCCAGAATTTCTAATGTGAATTGTATTGATTATTAGATTCTTAATTGTGCTGCCTTAGTTATAACATTAATTAAAACTGTGGCTGTTTTAACTAAAATGACTACAAACTATTGATAGTTGGTCAAGTCTACATCTGGTTGAAGCAGGTTCTTATTTTATATTTAGTGTTGCTGTGGAGTTTACTCATTGATGCCGCCATAGAGAACAAGGGGAATATTGGTTTTTCTAATGCCATTGTTGGGAACGTTTATAGAATGGCATGATACTCATTAAAATGAGACTCTTTGAAGTTACTTCTAAAGGTGTCCTGGGGAGTTAATTTTCAAGGAATTTCTAATGGAAACCACGGAGATCTGAAAATGAGGCCCACAACACCTTAACAAGGCCAGCAGCAATCATTTAGGAGGAGGTGACATGACACATTGCAATGTTTTTCCTTGTTAAAGCTATTGGCACTATGCAGCAGGCACCTACATGGGGCAACAATAGAGGCAATCTGGCCTGCCACATTCAGCCTATGTCACCAGATTTCGTAAGACACTGCCTGCTGATACTGGGGAGTCTAATCCCTAAAGGTTTAGAAAAGTGTCCTAGAAATCTCAAAAACTGAGGTGACAGCAGGCTGAAGCAATGCATTTGCCCCAGGCATATGTCTTATGGGCTGTGCCTTAGTTACAAACCCATCTGCTAAACTTCCTACCATCTTGCATTGAAAATCAGAATATAATGGTTTTTAATTAAGCAGAACCAGTTAACTACACACAGGTAGGTATCTTAAACTGAAAAAATAAATTCAAATTAATCTCTGCTATATGAAAGTGCTCCTGTTTTAGCACAATTGGAAACTGACTAAATGTCCTCTAAAGTGATCACGTTCTTTATTTTTAAGTGATTAAACTGAAGATCTGACTAACTATAAGAGTCAGATAACTTGTTTTATTGTTTAGAAACATAATCATTGAATTATGTATATATGTAAAATTATACAAAATTGCATATATCATTATATGAAGTTTGTGATGCAGTCTTTAATATAATTTTGCTGATTTATGACTATATTCTATTGTCAACATACAGTCAATATAAAAATATATTGAAACAAAGTTACTGTATACTAACCTTGTAAAATAATGCACCTGTGAGCTTCAGGCAGAGATCTAAGAAAGGTCAACATCTGTAACCAGCAGTTACAAAGCCATTGAAATCTGAAATAATAGGAATATAAGGGAGCTCTTTCTATAACTCTGTTCCAATAGTTTTGGGTGAGATTATGACTGGTTGGGTGAAGATTATGAAATGCAGTATAAGAAACTTCTCTAGTGTCTAATTGATGAAGGGTTACCTATTAGTATATTTAACCTATCAATAGTGAGCATGTAATTTCATCTTCCAGTTGAAAACCAATTTTATTCTCGTATGCAAACAATTCCTTTCATCAATAAAACATTTTTTTATTATATAAAACAAGCCTTTCTCTATTGGTATATTACTTCCATGCCTTTGCTTCAGGGATTCAGCTGCAGATTTTTTTTCAGTCACATCGAAGTTATTTAAATCAATTTCACATAAGTGATGGAATACCTTAAGTTTTTGATGTAAGATTATTTTTAAAAGAAGCGTAGATTGATAATCATGGGTTAGAACTGACTTTGCTGCATTTAGCACTCTATAGCTAAAAGCACAATTTGTAACATGCTTACAGTTCTGACTGGATAATATAAAACTTGCATTTTCTGAAGCCTATAAGGGGCAGTCAGGCCTTACAAAGAAATATGTTGTACAATTGATCACATAAGCAGTGATGGTAAATATCTCTTCTATAAAGGTGATGTCAGTGAAGGATCAGCCAGCCCATCTGCTCACGGTGAACTCTCTTAGTGATAATTAGAAGCCCTTATATTTAAATTAGTCTTCAGAGAACCAAGTCCCACTTTGTAAAACATCTAAATGTCTTAGGTTGAGAAAGATTTATTCACCTGGCTGTGATTGTTGGGAGAACACCAAGTGTACCTTGCTTGGATTTTTCTTCATCCTGTTCTATCCACTCCAGACTGCCACAGCTTCCATAGAATGGGAAAGAACATCAACAGAATATTTATACTGCCCAGGGAACTGATGCCTATCTGGATATCATTAGCATAATGATAACAACATAACTCAAACTATTGGACCTTCCCCAGAGGTTTGATGTAGATGTTAAATGCATGGGATGAGAAGCCCTGAAATAACCCTAAAGGTAGACTACACCAAGAAACAGATACCAGGTGTTTCTAAAACTATTTTTAAGTTTTATTAAGATTTGCTATTGTAACAGAATTTTGCAAGTCAGAATGTGCTTGTCCTTCTATCTTCATGTGAATTTGGGATACTTTTGCCACTCGTCTCCCCCTGCCAAATCTCAACCTCAGCTTCTGCAATGTTTATTTGCTTGTTGCCTCTATCCGATCTTCCCCCTGTCAAGATCAACCTCTTACTCTCCACAGATATCCAATATATCAGAGGCCACTGGGTTGACCATTCCTTCCCCATAACAGCAGATCATTTTAAGAAAGAGAAGAGCCATTGTAAAGCAGTGTTTCATCTTCCTAATCCCCAAAGATAAATTACTAAAATATTATGGTAAATGCTATCAAAAAACCACAAGAGATCTAAGAGGACCAGGAGAGGTGTATCAATTCCATCCAGATCCCCAAAGGAGAAGTTTGGAGACTGGCAAATAGTAATTTAGGAACAAAGGATCCAGAGATGGCATTTTCAGAGAATATACCATAATCTACTTTTGACTATAGGCAACTCCCGTCACACAGAGAGGGATTATCAATCTCATGGGTCCAAGTGGTCACTTCCCCATTCACTCTTCACAAAAGACAGGGATCCAAAGTATTTATACATGGCAGACCTCACCCCCTCAAATTCCTTGGAGTTCCCGCATACAAAGAGAATCGTAATATGGGAGGACAGTGCCCTAGTCACGCCCCAAATTCTGATGAGTCAAGATTGTGGCACTTCGCTGTCAGCAAAGTATTATGCAAACTGATTTTAGCATCCAACTGAGATGACTTTTCTCCAAAAGGGAGTTCTAAACCTAAACAAGACTGCAGGGAAAGTAACTGATACAGTAACAGTGAGCTCATTTTACCACTCTTATCAGCTAATGTGAGCATATAACCATGTTTACTCAGTTCTAGTTTTTGTCTTTTTCTACTGAGGCTATAGGCATCATTTCTGGCACATTTGCTGTGTTTGTGTGTGTTTGTCAATCATGGTGCCAACTAGGCTCCACCTTCAGAAAGAGGCTGCTCAGGAACCATTGAGTTCAGTACCCGGCTTTTCCCCTGTTGCAAGGGTTTACCAGGCACTGACCAATTAATTGGAATTTTAAAATCTTATTTAATGGAATACATTTCATCTACTAATTTGGTATGGCAGAGTAAAATGCAGCATATACTGAATACATTAAAATGATGACGACACAAGTGACCGAGTACACAGTGGCATTTTATTAGTGCTTAACATGCAGCAACCACTGGGACAAAATCTAAAATTTAGGATTACAATTTTGATTTTTAAAAAGTGTTGAAGACTACAAATGCAACAAAACTGATGGTTCATGCATTTTCACATTCTACACACATAGGCTCAACTTACATCATGACTTTCCATTTTGTGGAGAAAAATCGTCGTTCAATAGATGAACTTTTCTTGTGCAAGACCTGTTTGGGGATTTAATATATGGCTATACAGGCTTATGCATTTTATCACACTAATACATAAAAACTGGAATCATCCATGCTGAATGAATCGGAAAAATCATTCATGATAAACTGAAATATACGTACTTGAGATTCTTTTGATACTTGGTTTAGAAGATTTAGTTGGACTAACAATCTTTTAGGGTGTAATAGTGTTATAGTCATAAAATTATTTTAAAAATTTAAAAATTTAAAATTTAAAAAAAGATAAAGTGCTATAGCAGTTGCATACTAAAAACTTTTAATAACAGTAATTAAATGTAGAACTATATTGAACATTCATAAAAAGGGATATCTGGAAGATATCTCATGTTTAGAAATAGTTTAATGGAACTAATACTGCCTTTTTCTTCCTATCAATGCTATGGCCTTTCTTCAGTTGCTTTGAAATCGGAAGGAAATTACCATATTTAAAACATGTTTTCAAATACATATATTTGCATTCCTAACATTCTACAAATGCACAACTTGTGCACAGGACTTTGGATAGATAGCCATTTTACATTTTTAATAATATTCAGTGCAGCAATAACTTTAGATTTGATTTCTTTTAAGAATCTGAGCAAAAGGTTTAATGGAGGCAGAAGGGAAGAAATCATTAAAATGCTTAACAGAGATTATTACTCCAATTGAAAAAAGCCTTCAAAATACAGGCAATGTTTTCATAGCTGGACCATTACAAATAGCCCTTGATTTAAGCGAACAACAATAGATTAGTCAACTATAATCTATGGATAATTCTATATTCAATGAAAAACTGTAATTAAGCTCAAATTAATGTTCATGCAAGGTATCACAAGAGTGTGTAAAATATATGCTTTCCTAATATTACCCATCAGGTAATTTCAATAGATGTAATTTGATTTTAAACAATGCTTCAGAATTATTTTTTTTATGGAACATTCTTGGAGGCAGCATTCTATTTTAAATAAATTAATGAATTATAATGCTTTCCAGAGAATAATAAGCTCTGAAAACACATTAATACTGGCTGTGATTTCACCAACATCATATTTAAAGCAAAATTGCCTTCTATACTGTTAAAGAAACATAGATGCAACAATTATGCTTTTGAAGGCAGTTCCTGCTAATTTATATTATAGATGGTACTTTGTATTTGTTTCTGTAAAACACTTATAAAAGGAAGCCTTGTACCTCTTTTGAAGTTTCAATTATTATGTACCTAAAGAAACTGATATTTAAGAAGTTGATCACAAAGCAGTATTTAAATTATATTAATAAATATATAAGCCATTTAATATATAAATTATAGAGTTGCTATTTATATACATTGCATTGAATATATTTTATGCTTTTTAATATACCTGCCTTTTGTGATTTTTATAATTAACTATTGTAAATTTAAAGTATCCTTTAATTCACTTTTGCATCAAGCAGAAATTAAAAGGAATAGAGAATTTAAGCAAAACAAAAAACAAAACCCTTCATAAAACTTAACTTTATTTTAATTTTAAGAATTTACACTTTACACTCCAGTCTGTTGTTTTTTCCCATTAAGATTAACCAAGTTAATTTGAAAACTTAAGTTTTTAAAAGTTAAATATTAAAAATTCCAACATATAAAGTGGTTTACATTCATCTGGTATATTTGAAGAACACATGTAGGAAGGACCTAATGAATTTAATATAGTAGAATCTCAGATTAAATGTCATTGGCCCAAAAATTTAAATAATATAAGTGGAAGTCATTAAATGTGTTACCATGCAACATCTGTAAGCTTTCAATCACCAACTGATTTTTAAAATATATTCTATACAAACTATGAAAATAAGCACCTATTTTAAATGCACAAGTTAACATTAACAAATAAAGCATAGTTTAGGATTTGTACTTTATTTGAATTATAGAGGAAAAATGTATGCAAACTATCTCCACTTAATAAGTTTTACTTATTTATTCCAAACTGTATCGAAAAATAAACCAAAGTCTAATAATTCAAATGGGATCTCTGTTCATGGCACAATATGCTGCTTAATGTGGGTAGGGAAATTTAAAAGTACAAGGAATACTTGCTCCTTCTGATAATACGCTAACCTATTATAGTTACAAAACGGTTTTAATCAGTAATACATAATCAAAAACAAAACTTTCTGAATTTAAATTATTATTACTCTGAAAAAGGGAAAATATTTTCCATTCTTCTCCATATAAATCCTTAATATGTTTGTGTATGAAAAAAATGTTCATTACACAATCAAGAAGAAAATTGAACAAAAACATCATTTCATTCTTCCAAACACTGCATCCTCCTCATGTCTAAGTCTATTTGCACTTCATACTAGCAATCATTCTGCCTGAATTTTTATAAAATAAAGGAATAACTTTTTGATTACAATATAGTAAACAATATTTTCTGTATGGCAATATTTTCCATTAGAATTGCATTTACCACTTTGAAATAGTTGCACAACAATGCACATACATTTATTTAGTCGGAGACATGCTGAGTCAAATATGTCCATCGTTCTTTAATAGAGGACAATATTTGATTCTGACACAGAATACAGTACTGAAATAATTGCAATCTATTTTACAAAATAATTTCCTATATTGGAGAAAACAAGCAAGTTAATCTCAATTTGTTGTCTCAAATATTGCAGAACCCAAATGATGCATATGTTTATGTATATATGTATGTGTATACAGACAAACCCCTAAACACACATGTATAGGTTGGCTGACAATGACATATTAATATTTAGACTGTTATGTTCCTGTCAGCTTTTCTCCCCAGACTTCTTATACTCTAAACAAATGAGGTATTATCCACTAGTTTCTTCTGCTTTATTTCTTTCTTTTTAAATATGCATATGTATGTTTAAACTAATGGCATGCTGTACCTTTGTATATTAAACTCTGGTCCATCCAAATAGGTTATGGAATTTGCCATTTGAAAAGCTCACATTTCTTCAAGAGCACAAATGTAATTGTTTCAAGCTCTACATCAATACTGTCCATCTCCTTAGACAAAAATGTATTATCACCTCATTTAGTAGTGATTCCTAAAGTACATCACATTTTCCTTCATATTAAGAGCTGCAAAACACATTCTAACTCTGCACATTCATTCTGGCAGCATGCTGCAAAACTCCAAAAGTGTTTGATTGAAGTGCAAAATAAATATTCAAGTATGTATATTACATGACTATTGTACAGTATTATTCAAACCATAATATTTTGAAAATAAAGCATACCTGGATGTACATGTTCAAGGTAAAGGAATGTTTTGCAGCAAAAGGAGTTTACATTTCACCTTATAAAACTTGGAATTTATATACAGATTCAAGAACTAATACTAACTTAAATTTGGAGTCAAATGCATGAATATGAAATTTACAATATCAAAACTCTGGACTGATCCATCTTCTTAATTAATACCAAGGAGTGTTGGCATTAGCTTAGCTTTTTGAAAATTTGCCAGCTCGCCGAGAAGGTTCATATGGCACTCGTAGAATACTTGGAGTTTCTTCCATTACTCGTACTAAAAGATTGTCAATGTAATCCTCAAGTTCACGAATGTGGGTATCTTTTTTCTTCAGTTGTTCTTTGTGTTTCATCAACTCTTGTAAGACCTCTTCATATGTAAGATTACGATATCCTGTTGAAGCATCAAAAGGATTTCCATCCTAGAATAAAGATATTTCTTTAAGATGACAGACCTAGGAGCATTGTCTTAATAGAAAAATGTGAATCAGAGGCCTCACAAAAGTTTTTCCATATAATTCATATGGAATTATTTCCATATTTAAATAAAGAGCAAAGAAATGCACTTATGACAAACACCTCTGCATAAATACTGCAAATACATCAAGACCCATTTCTGTCTTGAAGATATAAGAAGTTTTTAAAATATTGTAACAAACAGCTTACAGGTAATTCTCACAATTGCTCAGTTGGGACCAGAACCTCTGTCATTAAGTGATGTGGTCCTTAAGTGATTCATACTCAATTTTATTACCATTTTTACACAGTTTATAAGCAAATGTGGCTTCCCACATGGTTTTGCCTGTCGGCAGCACTGAGTTAGTCTCAAATGGTGATCATGTGACCTCAGGAGTCTGCAAACATCATAAACACATACAATTGCCCAGTGGCCAAATTTTGTTCACATGACTGTGGGGATACTGCAATGTTCTTAAGTGCGAGGGCCAGTCATTTTCCAGTGCTGTCATAGGTTTGAACAGTTGTTAAACAGGATTCAATCTGGGTTGGTCTTCATTCGTGAGTTGTTAAACAAATGGTCATAAATTAAGGATTACTTGTATTTAACCGTTTCTCCATATCACTTCATGTAATTTCAGCATTGCTCTAATTCTATTATCATAGCACATCCTACATAGCACTGTACAGGGTGATGTACAGTGGTCACAAATTTCATGAATTAATGAATAATGAGAACTCAATTTCTAAAGAAATGCAGAGAGAATTAGTAAATGTGTCCTATATGTCATATGGATTGGTAAAAACCAAGGATACTTATATTACTATCATGTGGAAGCTGCAGGCAATATTTCTACATCAGAGCCAGAAATTGTAACCATACAATTTCAGAATTATTCACACATTTTCTCAAATCAGCCACTGGACATCAAGAATTATAAAATTTGGTATATTTGTATTGTTTCTATCAAACTTACTATTCAAAAAAAAAATCTGTTTAAATCAAGTTCTGATTTGTATTTATATATCCATTGTACAATTGGTCAATAGTATGGAAAAAATTAGCCTTGATATAAGAAAACAAGCAAAAGGAACATACTGTACTTTCTGCTATCAATTAAGGATCTAGGGCAACTATTATGACTATGAAGTACTGGAACAATCAGGGTAACTATATTCATAAGCCAGGAAAAGAACAGCTATATCCTTCTATGTAGATAGAAGCCCTTAGCTGCAACAACTTGTAGACTTGAGCCTGAAAAGGGGGAAAGTGAAAGAAACAGGAACAATTAATTGCCATTCAAGAAAGAATTAGCGGAATGAAGATTAGTCTTGCCCAGCTGGTCACAAATCCTGGGTATAGTTTATCACTTTGTTCTGGCCTTGAAGAACTGATCTCATCCACTCCCTTTGCTTGTATATCTTGCTTTTTTTTTTTTTTAGTTTGTAAACCTGATGACAGGGCCTCTCTCTCTCTTTTGTTATATGTGAATAGCTAGTTAATTGAAAATTGGGACACAAATACTCACACAAAAGCAACAAATAAATAAATAAAACAACCCAGAGAATTCTGGGTAAATCCTGCAACTATCAGAATGGTTCAGCTGATTAATTCTGGCAGAACTTCAATAAGAAAGTTGCAAGAAAATATAAATACTAAGAAATTTACAGAACATCATTTTTTTCCATCTCTCACTGTTGGTCTGCACCAAAAGCAGGAGCAGATTGTAATTGAGATCTAAGTGAAAGAGGCCTCCATCTGGGATCCACAATGCAGTGTTATTAAGTGAACATTTCTCTGGACTGTTTCCCACTTTCCTGGCAGATGATGATGCAAGGCAACTAGTCTATATTTGAAAAGAACCCAATATGATTAAAATGGATAATAGACATGACTCAAAAACATTTCTTGGTTGCTTCCCAACAGTGAGACAATGCTACATACTTCTTTTTAATGAATTCAGGCTCTATTTTAAGATTTGCTGGTATCTATCACTTTCTATATTTAAACAACAAGTTAGGGCTAATTCACATCCGCAGAAACCACACTATCATCCAATAATCTGCAACTGAATGAATGAAATTGAAAGTATTACTGCATATATGAGGTAAATTCTATGATATAAAAATGCTCTCTCTTTCTTATTTATCTAGATGACAATTAATACATTCAAATCATCAACTAATGTTGAGCTCATCAAATATAAATATCAATGAATTCTTCTGCCTTTTTTAAACTATTCACAGTAATAGACAGATACAGGCATATAGGTATAGATTTAAAATGGCATTTAAAAGTAAGTGAAACATTTAGATGTGCACAACTACTTTCTAATATACAAAACAGGCAGAACATTTGCAAGATTCCAGATATGTATCTGAAGCATTTAGACTGCTACCTGATGAATGAATATGAATGGAAAATTTCCATGCAGTTTGAAAAAAAGGAAACATCTCTGACCAAACCACCTTAAAATCTGTTCTATACCTCATTATAATCTGACAACATGTTCTAATTCTGTAACCTAATGAAAGAATATGCAAATTCCCCCTTGTTCCATTTTGTATACCTTATCTGTACAATTTTATATACCAACCTTTGCCTAGCCTGGTAATATAGGGAATGAAATTGTTTATTTATTTATTTTTTATTTATTTTATTAGATTTATATACCGCCCTACTCCTGCAGGATTCAGGGCAGTGAACAGCCAGATAAAACACATAAATTACAAAATTTAAAAACAGTATAAAATCTGATTAAATAATTTGGCCCATAACAATTTAAACAACCCTAATGTTTTTAAGACAAATTTAAAATTCATCATTTGAATTAAAAAGGAAAAAGAAAAAGTTAGGCCAGGCCGGTCTGTTGAAATAGGAAAGTCTTGAGAGCGCGGCGAAAGGTGCGTAAATCCAGGATCCTCCGTATCTCCGGGGGGAGCTTGTTCCAGATAGCAGGTGCTCCCACAGAGAAGGCTCTCCCCCTAGGGGCTGCCAGTTGACACTGTTTGACCGACAGCACCCGGAGGAGCCCCTCTCTATGAGAGTGTACTGGCCGATGGGAGGCTATTGGTGGGAGCAGGAGGTCCCGTAAATAACCAGGTCCTAAGCCATGGAGCGTTCTAAAGGTGGTGACCAAAACCTTGAAGCGCACCCGGAAGACCACCAGGAGCCAGTGCAGCTCGCGCAGGAGAGGTGTTACATGGGAACACCACATCGCTCCCATAATCACCCGCGCGGCCACACTCTGCACCAGTTGGAGCCTCCGGATGCTCCTCAAGGGGAGCCCCATGTAGAGAGCATTACAGTAGTCCAGGCAGGAAGTGATGAGGGCATGAGTGACCGTGCGTAATGAGTCCCGATCTAGAAAGGGATGCAACTGGCGGATCAGGCGAACCTGATGAAAAGTCCTCCTGGTCACGGCCGTCAAATACTCTTCTAAAGACAGCCATGAATCCAGGAGGACGCCAAGTTGCGAGCTCTCTCCGTGGGGGCCAACGACTCGCCCCCAATAGTCAGTGATGGGTCCAACTGACTATATCGGGATGCCGAAAACCACAGCCACTCGGTCTTGGATGGGTTGAACCTGAGTCTGTTTCTCCCCATCCAGATCCGCACGGCCTCCAGGCACTGGGACATCACTTCAAGGGCATCGTTGGGGTGGTCCGGGGTGGAGATGTACAGCTGAGTGTCATCAGCGTACTGATGATACTTCACCCCGAAACCATGGATGATGTCACCCAGTGGCTTCACATAAATGTTGAACAGAAGGGGCGAGAGGACCGACCCTTGCGGCACCCCACATATAAGGCGCCTCGGGGTCGACCTTTGCCCCCCTGCCAACACAGACTGCGACTGGTCAGAGAGAAAGGAGGAGAACCACCGCAGCACAGTGCCTCCCACCCCCAACTCTTCCAACCGGTGCAGCATGATACCATTGTCGATGGTATCAAAAGCCGCTGGGAGATCTAACAGGACCAGGACAGAGGAACAACCCCTGTCCCGAACCCTCCAGAGATCATCAACCAATGCGACCAATGCCGTTTCCATGCTGTACCCAGGCCTGAAGCCCGACTGGAACGGATCTTATTCAAGACATACCTAAAAATTGAAGTTTGAATTGCCTTTCTTTCAGAACTGAATCTTAAAGGTACAAAGATTTATGGTACTTCTAAAGATTGTTTGTCTAAGTGCTGTACATTTTAGTCCTACCAGAGTTTTAATAGAAAAATCAGAATATTTGCAATATTCATATTTCAGTGATACTAATGACTCTGTGACTATATATGTTTCTCTTCCAGATTGACCAAAGTGACTGTAATATCTAAATTTAAGAATAGCGATAAACTGTCAATATTGCAATGCAACACTTAGTAAAAAATAGAATATCTGAAATTTGTCTTATATGGCTGGTCATATACAGATTTTTTCTTTAAATGGAAGAATAAAAGAGATGCTTGTGTAAGTTTTTAATTTTAATACTAATTTGTATATTGTTATAATGATTATTTTATGTGTGTAATGTTTATATTCAATTATTATATGCTGCCCAGAGAAACTTCTTGAAAGGCTGTATCCATTTGATTAATGAATAAATAAATAAAAAACTATTGATTATGCATAGATTATGGTACTTCATTTACTGTGCAAATATACATTTGCATACTATGTATCAATTCAAAATTAAGCTCCATTGTATCAATATAATCAAATTTGAATAAAGAAACAATTTATTAAACTGAGTATGACTATCATTAAGTATTGTACCTTATGATTCTTGATGAATATATCTTTTCTTTTTATGTACACTGAGAGCATATGTACAAAAGACAAATTCCTTGTGTGTCCAATCACCTTGGCCAATAAAAAATTCTGTTCTGTTCTGTTCTGTTCTGTTCTGTTCTGTTCTGTTCTGTTCTATTCTATTCTATTCTATTCTATTCTATTCTATTCTATTCTATTCTATTATTCTATTCTATTCTATTCTATTCTAACATTACACCGAAAACAGATATTATACACTGCTTCTCAAATGAAATTTATTTGTTAATGTTATCTACAAATAAAAAAGTGTTATGCTATCAGCATAAAAGCAAATTCCTCAACTTGTCTACTAGTAAAAACCAGAATTTCTGCTATGAATGTAAGATCCTTTAACTACTTATCATATAGCCATTAAATCAGATTTTCAACAAATGGGAAGCTTTTGTTTATATATGAATATGATCATAAAAATCATCAAAAAAACACCAAAATCATTTGTGATTTAGGAAGCTAAACTACATCAAATGTACAATAATTCAGTTTCAATCTCTTTTATTTAAATTTCTTCTATTTAGTTTGGCTATCCTACATATCATTAAAATATGCAAGTGGAAATTTGAAATAAAGCTAACTAGAATGGGTGAGGGAGGGAGGCAATATAAATGCTGCAAATCAGTCAAGTGTTAATTTTTTTGAGCTCCTGATCGATCATTAATTGAAAATAAAGAAAATGCTTTACTTATGTTTATATCTCATCTGCTTTTAGAAATCATCTCAAAATAATGTGTATATCTCCTGCAACTTTATAAATACTTATAACTGAGAAAAGTTTACAGTACATAGACATAGCTTTCAAAATCTAAAAGAAATGGTGATCCATACTTTTTGTCTTTCTGAATTATATAAGTAATAATTCTGTATCTATATATTCATTTGGGCTTAAAAAAATATGTTCGTATTTTAGATAATCAATTTTTCTTCCTGTTTCCAACTTTGTAACAGTTGGCAGAAGAGATACCATTTTAATTATATACCACAGATGGTTGAATATATTAAATTTTGTTCATTTCTGATCATTTAGATCAAAACATATGCATAGTTGCAAGTAAAACAACTATGTCTATGCAACTAATGTAGTGACTGAGATCTGCATAATTTTACTATCTTAAATGGAAACACATGTTCAGTAAATGAGGACAAATTAACAAAAAATAAATATTCTATGCCATTTCCCAACAATACTGATATCAAATTCAATAAAGAATAAGAGAAAAAGTTTCAAGCTAGTAAGCGTGTAGAGAAAGCCTGATAATCAAGTATTATTTGGGTACAAACTGATAGCTGCTGCTGGAAAAAGCAAAGATAACATTTGAACTTGGCATTCTTTGATCATTTGTTTATTCTAATGAGGAGTTTTGTTTTGGGAATATAATTGAAACCACTTTCACATCTCTTGTTTTACTTTTCCATTCTCCTTTTGGCTTTTTAATTGGGCTTTCTTTTCAATGGGCTAACTCTTGTTCAATCACAGGTGATGGCACTAACAAAACAAAACAAATACCATTTTCCCAGGGGAAAACTACAATGTAAGTCATCGAAAGAGCACTATCTAAATTACTTCAAACTTATTTGTTCAGTTTAATATTTAATAGTTAAGTTGCGATCTTTGAATTCTTACAATAATTATGTTTTAAATTTCCTGAAAAGTGCCTTCTAGACATTGTATTCCCATAATTTGGACTTCAAAAGTAAAATAGTGTTTTTTTTAGAAATTTGTTATATTGTTCTGAATAATAATATAGAAGCAGAGACATAAAAAGCTTTTAAATATTGGGTAAATAATAACATTTATTATGCAGGCACTTGGCAACCTGCCCACGTTTACAAATACAAGGCGTGTTTCAGCTTCCTTAGCCATCTATCTCCTCACCCAATCTCGGACTTCAGTCAGTCTGTCGTCTTCTTCCTCCCATTGCTGATAAGATGCAAATGCCCAGGTTAGCAAGGGCAATGGGAGTGCAGAATGCAGTGAGGTCAAAAGAGCAGAAATGTTGAGGAGACAGAAGGGATGAGTTGAAGCAGAAATGTGCTAGCAGGGTAGGAGAAGCGTGAAAGCCTTGCCTAACTACAGCACAGTCCTGGCTTAGTGACAGAAACAGGGACTACCAAAACTGTTATCACTAATACTGTTTTGCCTAATTACCACATCACTTAGAGAGGGAAATTCCAGTCTCAATTGGGTTGCAAAGTGAGTACTACCTGCAATTTTTTTTTCAGTAATTCTAAATTACATTTTTTTTTTTCATTCTGGTTTGTCGCTGTTGCTCTTTGTACTCTACTGGGAGTCATTTATGATTGAGTTTATTTTTAATAAATAAATAAATGTTTCTTGATTATCATCTTGTAATATTTATTAATCAATCTAGAATTCACATTTGGATTAACTTTCCTAAACCACTTAAAAAGACCCATAGGACTTGGATTTAGCGAATAATAATTGAGTATATTATCTTCGAATAAACAAAAAGCAAAAGGATGAAAAGGGATTAGGGAATTTAGGTTCAAAAGTGTTCATGCATTGTCATCTTCCAGTATTTCTGTTACCTTCTAATATATTTCCTTCTTAAAATATATATTCCAATAAATTTAATGAATAAAAGTTCATATTTCCATCAAACCGACAAGTTTGTGTGAAGAAGTATTATTCTGTATCTAGTCACCCAATTAAAAATATATAACCAAGGTGAAAAACAACAGGTAATATAGTTGAGAATGTATGACTCCATTCAATATAAATAGAGGCCAAGGGAGGTTAATCTCTTCAGATTAGAAAGCAAGAAACTGGGGAGAAATATACAGCAACATAAATAAAGTTAGATAATTAATTTTTCTTTAACGTAGAGTAAGGATAGGCAGCTATGACCCTTGAGCATTTTTTGTAGCTGCCATAACTGCCATAACATATACTGCAAACACTTAAAACTGATAAAACAATTTATTCCCATTTTAAGGCAGGAGATTATTTTAAAAAGCATAAAAACAATCTTTTAAAAGTTAAACTCTCCCCAAAACAAAAAGAGAAAGTGATAAACCCTACCCCCAACCAAATGTGGTATTTGGTTGTTTCTATTGTCCATCACTCTTCCATCCAATATAGCCTTTGCTTCTAGAAAAAAGTGCTGCCTCCAACCACTAAAAGATTGCCCATCTTAAATATAAGAGGAAAATACTCTCTGTGCAGGTCAGTCATATCACCCACTTACATATTCAAGCAATGTAAGAAACAGTCTATATTTATACCGGTACAAATTCATCCTTTTTATGTTAGAAAGTTTAAGCTAATTGTTATTCCTTGCGTACTTAAAAACATTAAGAAAACACATAAGTAGGCATGCATCCCTTCTTATGGATATCAGGTATGGGATTAGACTGCATTATTCTGCTTTTCACCCAAACTTTTAATATGTGGTTTGATTCATGAAACTACTTGCCACAGGTTCATGAAGAACAGGCTACTGTATTTTTCGGAGTTTAAGACGCACCTTAGTTTTTGGGGAGGAAAATAAGAAAAAACTGATTAGTAGGTGGATCCGCGTCCCAGAATACCACCAATCAGCTGTTCCCAGAGGTGAATTTTAGCAACAGGTTCCTTGGTTGTGAGCTCTGTGCCTTGCTTTTTTTCCTGCCTTCTGTTTCAGAAAAAACTTTTTTTCCTGCCTCTGAAAGCCTCCGAAACAGAGCTTTAGAAAAAAAGCCCCTGAAGCTCTGTTTGGGGGCTTCTTATCTGAAGCTCTGGGGGCTTCTTTTCTGAAGCTTCATTTCTGATGCTTTTTTCAGCCTCTGAAACCTCCGTTTGAGAAGCCGGGGGGGCTACATTCAGAGTATAAGACGCACCTAGATTTTTATCCTCTTTTTTGGGGGGGAAAGGTGCATATCGTATGAAAAATACGGTATTTATACCTTTAAATTACTAACCACATTTAATATATCTCACGTCAAAATAATCAACAAGAAAAGACAACTTGTTTCTGAATTGTCCATTTTAAGAAGGAAATAAATGTATTGGACCAGATAGGTTTCTGAATTAATTCAGGAAAGAAAATCTGCCATTTGTACTATTAAATTAGGGTTCAATCAGTCAGTATAAAAAAAACAATAAAGTTTTAAACAACAAAGCTTTAAACACCGGATATCCTTTCTCAATATCAAATGGAACATTAATCAAGTAGTTACTTACCATTGTTTTTTGAAATTCTTCAGAGTTTTCGGAATTCACATTAAGACTATGGAAGTAATAAAAATATATATTATATAATAAATATTTAGAAGCATATGATCTCAACATAATGGTTGCTCTTTTTTTCCATATATCATCCTTCCCCCAGATTTTTGAAAATCAGACATTTTTTTCTAAAGAGCACTATCTTTTTAAAAGTTAACGTGTTAATATTTAACATGTGTAGCAAACAGAAAGTTCAGAAAATTTGGATGTCTTCAAGAGCTATATGAATAATGGAGTTCAAACCCTTACAAGACATTATCAGACCATATGTGAGCTCAATAAAATTACCGTGCATGGTAATAATGTGCTACTATTCTGGTTACAAAACAAACACAAACACACTCTTCTTTACTATAAAGTCATAGTAAGAAGCAGTAAACTATATATACATTATATGCAAATACTATACATCATAGAAAACTATTTGGCTGTAGCATTTTAAAATGTATATTAATGTAAACACATATACTAAGAGTGGATAAGTTGAGAGTTGGCTGACCCTATTCCAACTTTAATAACACTAAAGCACATTGATTCCTATAGGCCCTTCTTTATCTAGAATAAATGCTATGTGAAAATTGGCTGAAGTTTATACCAGGTTTTCAATGAAAGGGGTAGCTGTCCTAAAAAAACAAAAAACCTAATGGTTGACCCTTTGGGACTTTGTGTCCATGTAGCAAGAATATAGTTAGGATGGGGATCAGGATATTAGTTTTCCTTCCAGAAGAAATTTGCTCAGGTATTATCAGAGAGGAAGTAAAAGTCCAAATAAAGTAGAATAAAATCTCTTTATAAGCCTAAGTGCAATGATAATAGGTACTGATTCAACAATGGATTAAAACAGCTGGTTTGCTGTTTTCTCCTTTGAAGAAACAATATTGCAATTTGGCTCTGTCCCCAAATGAAGAATGAAGGAAAAAGTCATTTATCCCTAGCAGCTAAAGAGTTGATATTTCTAATTTCCATGAATTCAAATTATTCTAATTAATTCTAAATAACAAAATATAATTTGTTAGAAACTAGAAAAAGCATAACTTGTATCATTTTTAATTCTCTCAAAATGATTACAGGGAAATTCACAAGAATGACTCAAAATATAACAGTCTTAAGATATGTTTTGGCAGTAAAGAGACATCTGTTAAAGAAACATCCATTTGTATAATTACTTTTTAAACTTTTGTATAAACTTAGGGTAATATTTTTGTTGTAGGAACTGTAGATATTCGGGCTGTTAACAGAGATGTCTGCTTTTGGTTTACAGTATCTCAAGTGGGCAGAAGTGAAAACAGAAATTAACTTTCTTCTAAGTACTTTTGGAGGTTTGGAACATAGAAACAGTATGGGTATAGCAGAAGCAAACCTATGTGAATAATATTATAAACAAACCAGTCACAAAAGTAGCAATATGCTTTTATGTGAGTGTTGCTTGCCTTTACATTTTAAGAATACAAGTAAATTACCCCAAAATAATCAGGCTTCCAAAATCAAAACATTAGAAAAAATATTACAATTATTTTATATGCTAAGTTATGACTGCCCATATCTGCAAAATATATTCCAACTTTTTTTCCCTAAGCAACATGATGTCCAAAACACTTTTTGTTGCTGTTCCTAGAGTTTATCCCAACCACACTTTTCTGGTGAGATTGCTAAAAGACAATCTCCCATTTCAGGCTTCAAAACACTAAACTCTAATGCAAACTTGAAATAAGTTTACATAGTTAAAGTGATTCTCCTCCCCTCTCCCAACGCGCCCCCCAATTATTATAAAATCAAGAGCAGACATATGTGTAAATTGTCTTCATCTACCTTTTTTATTCTTAACTGCCCAATGTGACCCTCAATCTCCTCAAAAATGTGAACCTGTTCCCTCCAAGTTTCTTTCCCTCCCTTAAAAAGACTATTATACATAACATCAAGATGATATGTTGCTAAGATAAACTTAGTTAAACAAATATCATAAAATGGTGTCCATTTTAAAAATCAGACCATATTATATTGAAGATACAATTTATACAGAAATGTAACAAATAAATAAATATTCGAGAAAACAGGGTGAACAGGAACATTGTGTGTGCTACAATTCTGGAATAAATGGACAATTTGAGAAAAAGGAAAATAAATAATTATTATACATATTAAATAAATTTTATAAATATAACTGAAATTATTGCCTTTTCCAAATCTATTCTACTAAAATTAAGATACTTTATTATTAACTTTTGTTAAATTTAAGTTTCCATCTGCAATTATGTGGTTCATTTCAGTGAAGTTCTTTTGTAAACAATAATTACCATAACAAACATCAAACCATGAATAACATTTTCAAAATGTGGCAAGGAATATACCCTGCAAACATGGAAAAATAGATTCCAAGTAGGCAATATTAACACTGTTTGAAACTTTGTTTTATTATGAGCATATTAAATCAATGCATGATATAAATTAATGCCTGATATAACGTAGCATTAAATTCCATCAGTATTCAGAAACATGAACATTCACAGATGAAGAAAATAATGTTGCTGAAACTGTCAGACAAACAGGAAGCAGAAAGATAAAGGAAGCAGATGGAAATTAAGACATTTGATTTTTCCTAAACATTTTTTTTAATGTTTGAAATAGCAAAAGAATATTTCAAAACATAAGCTATCAATGCAGAGTACAAAATACAAATCAACATTGAACACTGAACAATATTTAATATGCTAAAATTACTGATTTGATTTTGCAGTAGTGGAAAAAACGTATATTTTCAAAATTATACTAGCTATTCCTCCATTTAGTTCCTTATTCAAGGTCTTTCAATTACTACTCATTTTTAGAATATATTTCACCATAAGCAACATCATCATCATCACCATCATATACTTTTAAAAAGCTGAAAATTATAAACATTATATGAATAATTATAAAATTAAATCCCTTTTAAAGAAAATATACAGTGGGCTTAAAAGTTTGTGAATGCTTTTGAATTTTCAATATTTATACATGAATATGTACAAATTACCTAACAGGTGCTCCAAACAGTTGTTTCATTGGGTTCTCTTTAGCTATATTGTTTAATTGGGTTCTCTTCATCTGTTAGAATTCCATTCACTACCAAAAACCCTACATATTTGATTTCTTTATAATCCAGATGACATTTTGTTGGCTCTACTGTGAAATTCAATTTTTGGAGACTTGTTGCTACTTTTTCCAATGCATTAAATGATTTTCCCAGCTTTCACTATAGACAATGATATCATTTAAGTAAGTCTCACATCATTTTAGTTGATCAGGGAAGATTTGGTCCATTAACCTTCAGAAGAGACTGTCTCATTAAGTGGTAGGTCCTTCTTCACTAAAGATCTTCAAGCTGAGGCTGGATAAACATTTGTCTGATATGCTTTAGTAGAACTTTTACCAAGCAGAAAGATAGACTAGATGACCTGAGAAATCTTCCAACTACTTGTAATGCATAGCTAGAAATTATAAGCAATATGAACCAAAGTAGAAATGATGAAACCTCTCTAAACAACAATGAAAATAGAAGAGAAAGAACTGGAGAAAATCACAAAATACAAAGACCTGCAAATAGAAAAGGAACAACTGTAGCAAAAGAAAGCAATGATAGTACCAATAGTAATAAGTGTCTTGGGTGCAATCCCAAAACATCTGAATACCATTAGTATTGACAAAATACATTTAACAATACATTTAACATCATCAAATCACAACATCTGTATCCCAGGTCCCTGGAAAGGACTTGTTAGATAAAAATGTGAAATCCAGTCTAAACATCTGGTTGACTATGTGACCAATATAATAATCTAATCAGACACTTCATTGAGACACCTATCTATTCACATTCTCAAACCTGGCATTCGATCATGCTAGTAACAACCTGTCGCCTTTAACTACTGAACTATTTGTTACCCTGTGTCCAGTGCCTAAGAGCTTGTTAATTATCCAAATTTCTCTTTCTCTAGGTCTTGTTAATTACCTGTCTCCTGTCTCAGAGGACCTTGTTAATAACTTATACAGTCCCTCTAAAGAGGGCCTAACAACACATTAAAATTAAAGATGCTTTTGTTTTAACACCTGTCAAGTGCTGTAAATTGAGAAATTTTCACATTAGTATATTAGTCTACTGTAGTGTAGCATAAAAACAAACATTTTTTATAAAAATGTTGCACACAGAGTTATCTATATCCTGGAAAACCAATGTTTTAGCTGACATTTGTTCTTAAATACTGTATGTTCAGTGCATAGGACTCCTATGAGAGCTACACATTAACACCTGGAAAGCTACTATGATGAATAGTGCCATTAGGCTACTGTAATGAAAGTGATGAAGGAACTTTAAAAGAGAAAACTTTGAAAAGTGTAATTGGGATTACAAAACATTAACTCTATTGTTGTTAACGGACAATACGACCTCATGTAGGTTTTTCAAAGAATTAGTCATTTGAGCTATAGATTCTATATCAATGTGTACAAAAAGTCAAATAAGCTATTACTTCTTACAAAGACTTTCTTTAAGGGAGGGGTGGGAAAAAAATCTCAATAGCAGTAACTGACTTCAGTATAAATAAAATATTATTCTGGAAACTGATAAGCAACTTTATTTTAAGTCAATCTGGAAATTTCATTATAGGTAGTCTTTGACTTACAACCATTTGTTGAGACCATTTGAAGTTGTAACAGCACAAAAACACAACAACTTATAATTGTTTTTCACACTTACAGCATTGCAGCATTTCTATGATCATGTGATCAAAATTTGGACGCTTGGCAACTGGCATGTATTTATAACAGTTGCAGTATCCTGCATTGTGTTGTGAGCCGCCCTGAGTCTTTGGAGAGGGGCAGCATATAAATTTAATTAATTAAATTAAATCCTGGAGTCATGTGATCACACTTTGCAAGCTGCTAACAAACAAAGTCAATGAGGAAGCTAGGTTCACATAACAATTGTGTTACTAACTTAACAATTACAGTGATTCACTTAACAACTGTGGCAAAAAAGCTTGTAAAATGGACAAACCTGTCTCGTTTAATGACAGAAATTTTGGGTTCAATTGACGTTGCAAGTCAAGGACTACCTGTATACTAACTACAGCTAAAAAATACCAATTTTACCATGGAGATAACAAAATACGGCATAGATTATATGACAATTTTATTGCTCTCAGTGCATTTCTAAGCTCTACTTAAAGTGCCTTTAAGAAAAAAAAAAATAAGGTCCAATACTATTTGGCAGCAGGTATCTAAAGGACACATTGGTTTATAAAGGTTGTGCAATGCTTCAAAATCATTTTCAAAAGTGAGATGTCTTCTAAGGAAGTAAGTGCATTTCAATCATTTAAAAAAAACTTAAATATGTAGGTGGGTTTCCCAAACACACATACTTGTGTTCAGCTGCATAGACATATTCAGCCTTTTAATAATGGATACACTGAAGCTTTGCTTGATCATTTAAAGCACAAGGGATTCTTAATTCTTTGTTAGGTAATCCTGCATTTTAAGAGTACACTGGCTTTTGTATAATAAAATGGCAAAACTATTCGTTACAGACAGAATTGTTCCACAATACCCACTTAGGCTAGTTCCTTCACAGCACTGAAGTATCAGTCCAAGACTGTAATATTTATTAAATAATATTCTCATTGTACAAAGATAAGAAATACATTATAATAAAAAACATCAACTTAAAAACATCTAACCAAGGAACTTACCTAGATAACAGCATATTTTTTGGCTTGAAGTTTGTAGTAAAGGGATTAGTGGAATCAAAATCAAAGTTGCCCTGATGACTTTCAGCAAAAGGACTGGGTGATTTCAAATCAGAGGAGCCTTCTGATCCTCCGTTACTAAGTCTATCTGATCGTTTGCCTTCTTTCTTTCCAGTCACTCTTTCAAAGAGACTAACCTTTTCCTTTTTCTCTTTCTTATTCTCTTTTTTTATTTCAGGTGGTTTCGAAAATAAGCCCACATTTTGTTCCCATGATAAAGGGTTTTCTTCAAATGGATTCTTCTGTCTTGGCAATGTAGCAAACTTTTGAGGCAATGAAGCACTCACATTTGTAAAAGGATCGTTTTGAGCTACAAAAGCTGAGTCACTGTCATCACCTGTATTGTCCAGTTTACTCACTTTAGTGGTATCTGCACTTAATGTCCGTCTGTGTGGAGATTTTAGATTTCCTGAAAACAATGTTATTAGTATGCAACTGGACTCAAGTGTGTAAATAGAATATATATATACATACATATATATGTATAAAATATTATATGACTATTTGCAAAAAGTTAAAATTAAAAGTTTATTCCAACAGCTATTATTCTACAAATATAGACTATAAAAATTATTAGCTTTGGCTGAGTGAAGACCAATAGTTTCAACAAGCCTTTGACCATATAATAAATTTTCCCACTACAATATTATGTTTGTGTTTAAGTTCACTGTAGTCACCTGAAGAACTTCTAAACATAACAAAAACGCAGTACTATATTAAAGTTTTTTTATATTTAGCAAGTGACCATAATGATTATAGGGTGGAGAAAAATAGTGCCATTTATTTTGGCAATTTGTAGCCCACCTTTACTCCCAAAAACTACTTCAAGGCAGTTAATTTACAATTAAAACAAAATTAATGCAGCTTATATTATCCTCTAATTTTGAATACTTTAATAATTCCTGTATGAGGACAAATGTCCGAATACTATAAAACATGTTATTATAATAACATTGTAACTTCATGTATATAGAATGATCTGAACAAATTGTAATCATTACTTCACTGGGGAGAGTCAACATTAACTAGTTAATAGGCTTAGCACATAGTATTTTGTTTACCCAGGTGTTTTCAGCCGATTCAAATATTTAAAATTTTGCCATTTTTTCCACTGTTACTGTTTTTGTATTTTAATAACATGTGTCATCCAATCTGAAAATTTCTAGTTTAAGGATGGTGTATAATATAGATATACATAGTATGAAAAACAGATTTTGTTTCAAGCTTGGAACAAAACAGTCAAAATAGAAACATTCCAACTGAGATTACTATGTTCCACTACGATAAAACTTAACTATTTAGAAGATTTAATCAAAGAAAGCAATGGGAATTCAGCAGAACTGCCTTGCTCTTTGTTTTCCTCCAAGGGCCATAAGAGTAGTTGAAATATTAACTCATGTTGATTGTTATCTGCCATCCAACCTGCTGCAAAATTGGCCACAATTTAATTTAATTTAAACATTAAAAAATTCCTATAGAAATTATTTTAGTATCTGAAGAAAAAATTTAAATAAGAACCAACAAAAATCAGGTTCAAGCACAAGTCCATGTTTTGTTTCTATTATTAACAAAATCAAATACAAGTTTTGCATAAATCCAGGAAAAAGCAATTATATGTTATAGGAACAAAGTGCTTCTCCTAATTCTTGCATGAGTAAGAGTAAAACGAAAGAGCATAAGTACATCCAGTAATACAACTAAACTCTAGAAGTCATTAAAAGTTGTATTGAAATGTGTTCTAAAGTACAGATCACAACATCATAGAGTGCACACAAAGATAACAAATCAAAATAGGACAAGTATTTTCAGCTTTAAATAAAAATACTTGTCCTATTTTGATTTATTTTTGTATGTAACTATGTATCTTAATGTCCATTGTATTCAAGACTATGCACATTCTGCAACACTCCCCCCAAAAGCTCAATAAATCAGGGCTTGGTCCTCTCTCCCCTCCTATTTAACATTTACATGAAGCCGCTGGGTGAGAACATCTGACACAGGGTGAGGTATCAGCAATACGTGGATGATACCCAGTTGTATATCTCTACCCCGCATCAATTCAGTGATGCGGTGGATGTGACGTGCCGGTGCCTGGAGGCTCAACAGGATCAGATTTAACCCAGACAAAATCGAGTGGCTGTGGGTATTGCCTCCTATGTCGATTGTCCATCCTTGGTTCTGGGGGGGGGGAGAAATTGTCCCCCTCAGAACGGGCTCGCAAATTGGGTGTCCTCCTAGACTCACAGCTAAGATTAGAGCAACATCTGACAGCTGTGGCTAGGGGGACCTTTGCACAGATTCGCCTGGTGTACCAATTGCGACCCTACTTGGATCGGGAGGCTCTCATCACAGTCACTCATGCCCTTGTTATCTCACGGTTAGATTATTGCAACACGCTCTACATGGAGCTACCCTTGAAAAGTGTTCGGAGACTACAGTTGGTCCAGAACGCAGCCACGCGAGCTGTTGTGGGTACACCTAGATACACCCATACTACACCAATTCTCTGAGAGCTGCACTGTCTCCCTATTGGTCTCCGGTCACAATTCAAGGAGTTGGTTATTACCTTTAAAGCCCTACATGGCTCAGGCCAGGTTATCTTCGAGACCGCCTTCCGCCGCATAGCTCCCAGCGACCGGTAAGATCCCACAGAGTTGTTCTCCTCCGGGTCCTGTCAGCTAAACAATGCCAGCTGGCGGGCCTGCGGAGTTGGGCCTTCTCTGTGGCTGCCCCAGCTCTCTGGAACCAGTTACCTCCTGAGGTCCAGACCATCCTCACCCTATTGGCCTTCCGAAAAGCGGTGAAGACCTGGCTTTTCCGGCAGGCCTGGGGCCGTTGATCTCGCTCTTGTGATCTGGCGAGATCCGGCCATGAATGGCGTGAATGAGTTTTTAATGTTTTTAATGTTTTTAATTTTTAAATGTTTTTTATAATGATTTTTTTAAATGTATTGTGAGCCGCCCTGAGTCTTCGGAGAGGGGCGGCATATAAATTGAATTAATTAAATTAAATTAAATTAAATTAATTAAATCAGTCCCACCTGCTGTAGTGCCTAGGCTACAACATCTGGGAAAAGTCAACTGCAAGAAAACATGTCCCATCACAGCATACAGAACAGCACAAAATACAAAACTGTCAAGGTTTATTTCAAGCTTGAAACAAAACTCTCATTTCAATCATGGAAGATGCAGAATGTCTGTTTCAAGATAAAAACATTTGAAACTTGGAACTTTGGACTTTTGTATACATCAAATCTATTTTTAAAACAAATTACAGTGAAAGGAAACTGAATATAGTAATAAGTAATAAAGTTGGAAAAAATTATACTTATTAAAACAAATTATTGATGAAGCATTCTATTCTTCATTTGATTTCCACTATATCACAAATTATTAGCAACTATATTTTTCTTGGGAATAAGAGCATAAAGATATGGGGTTTGGAATAATTCTACTAGAAGGCTTTTCAAGTAGAGTTTGCCTTTTAAGAAATCTGTACTTACCACTTTCATCTTCAGAACCAACAGACTCAAGCTGATGTCTGAAGAGGTAAGAGTTGCCAATTGTTCCTAATTTACTTTTTTCTGAAGTCATCTGAGGTCCAGTTAGATCAGACATTGAGTGAGCCAAAGAGAGTCGCTGAGGTCCCAAAAGAAAAGGTTTTTTTGGCTTTGACTTTAATTGCAATTCATTGAGGGATGTTATATTGTTAGTTTCTGGGGTATGAGTACTTGGAATGATTGCAGAAGATGTATCCAAAAATGTTCCATCTGTCTTACGACCCTTCATTTTGTCCTTTAATTTGGCAAAAGGGGATTTGGTTTTGTCCTTAATTGACAAGTCAAACATGCTTGCTGTCATGTTGTTTCTCATAAACTGAATGTTGACTTTTATCTCTCCTCTGTCTTTAGTTCGTTTTCCTTGCTTGGACTCAAGAGGAAACCATCTTAAAGAAAAGATAGTATGCTGTTAGTTGCATAAGCATGCCTCAGAAGCATATGATGCCATTTCATCTAAACAGTACTTATGTAAGATTGCAAAAAGTTAATACAGACACATATCAGGGAGGTTGCTTTACAATTTTAAATGTATTTATTTCAAAAAGTATTCCTTGGTCAAATTTTAGAATAAGTGTGTTAGAAGAATAAAAGTGCCTAATTTAATCAGAATCCTGTATACTAAAGCAATATTAATTAAACTTCAAGAAATTGCAGCAGTTAAAAATGTATTAAAATTAGTTTCAAAGCTGAAACACAAGTAGAGAAACCAAATGACATTTGGAAGACTTAAAATAAACATTTACATACAACTTTCTCGAAACGGACAACGATGATCTAAAGGGAATCCTGTTGATAAGGCATTCCTCAAGTGGAGATAACATTGCAAAAAAGGCTGTCTCTTTGTAGACAATTTAATGACTACTAAAATAGGGCAACAGATCACTTAGTAAAAATGCTTTAAACAGGGCTCAGAAAAATACTAGCAGCCAACACAATATGAGGCAATATGCGGCTCATATGTTTTAATCATTTTGTTCCCACCATCAAACAATTTTTAAGTCAGGTGTTCCTGAACCTAATTCAAGATCAGATCCCATAGATTTCATATATAAGTTCTTAATATTCAATTAAAAATAGTAATTTCCACTATTTATTTAATTCATAGTAATAAACTTAAAACATATTCCTGTATTTTATTTGGGAATAGTGTCTACACTGAAAGAGTAACAACCCAAAATGATGTTCTTAGTTGTTAAAATACTTGAAAGAAATTTATAGATTTAATTACTATAACAATAGCTTTTGTGAAAGTGCTAAAAAAACCTTATGTTGAATGATAATGTTGAGGTTGAGTATATCATCCACATCTTTTATAAAGTACACTATAATATTACAAATAAAAATTAGGTTCTATAAGTAAATTTGATATTTATTTATTTATTTATTTATTTATTTATTTATTCATTCATTCATTCATTCATTCATTCATTCATTCATTCATTCATTCATCTTGTATGCTGCCTTTCTCTGAAGACTCAAGGCAGCTTACAATGCATTTAAAAACCATATATAAAAACATTAAAAATTAAAACATTAAAAACAATTAAAACCCATTCACACCATTCATGGCCAGATCTCACCAGATTGCAACAGCGAGATCAACGGCCCCAGGCCTGCCGGAAAAGCCAGGTCTTCACCGCTTTTCGGAAGGCCAATAGGGTGAGGATGGTACGGATCTCAGGAGGTAACTGGTTCCAGAAAGCTGGGGCAGCCACAGAGACGGCCCTCCCCCACGGGCCCACCAGCCGGCATATAGTTCTTGCATTTTAAGCACAGAAAGACAGACCATACTATCTCGTTCAAAACTACTTGACAGGTTTTTCAACTAATTTTCAGTATCCTATTTAATTTCAGCATTCTACTATTATGACAAATATTCATTCTTTCGATATATGTCTTGTCAAAAGAATGCAATGTTTGGATATGCTGAGCTATTTCACACTGTTCTTAAGTTGTGGTTGTTCTCTTTTCTCCTTCAGCAGGGATGAAAACTCACCAAACAGTTTGGAGGTTGCAGGTACAATTATGGAAAAAGTATGTCATGGGATTGAATTTCCTTTTGATTTATTAAGTAAGGGAATCAAAAAGTGACATCCCAAATGCCATCCAAAATTGGCAGCACTACAGATTTGCTTCCTAGAGCCTGTGCCATCCCCATCCTTATTTCTAAATAGGAGAAAAAAATCATGCCACCAAAACCTGGTTATTTTACCACTGAATTTTAGAAGGGAATGAAATCCATAGTTTGCCTATTGCTGTGTTTATTCCTATTTTCAAGGCCCTTCTCAATATTTTTTTCCTATTAAGGAAAAAAGATCCCTCAATATAGACAGGGAATCCCAAGGTCTGTAATATCAAATTAAAATAACCTGAGTATCATTTGTTTACCAATATGCTGTTAAGGAACACACCATGTAGAATCATAGAGGTGGAAGGGACCTCAGAGGTCCCCTGCTCAAGGCAGGAACGTTATACCAGCAACCAGTCAAATGGTTGTCCAGTCTGTTCTTGAAAACCTCCAATGATGGAGCACCCACAATCCCAGGATGCAAGCTATTCCACTGATTAATATTTCACCAGTTTCACACAACATGCTAAATCTTAACTCATTGTTTACAATACATTAAGCCAAAATCAAACACTGTTACGTTTAGCACAGTATTATAAACTCTTATCTCTATTTTGAAATAAAACTATTTAAGATTATAATCATTTTATGTATCTTGAATTAAAGCCAGAGCAGTAAATTAAAACCAAGAAGTTATTTTAAAACTTGTGCTACACATATTCCACATGCCATTGGAATATGGCATGTGGAAAATGCCATATTCAGCATATGGCATATTCATCAATCTAGTTGATGAATATAAATTTTATCAACTTTCAGCAATCTAGTTGGTATATTCCACATTTACTGCAGCCAACATGTTTTTTTTAAAGGAAACCTCATAGGAGTTTGCTTATTATAAAAGGGTGATAAGTTATGAATGCTTAGTTCTCATTGGACATTCAAATTCCAGAGTGCTTACCTTATAAGCATACATGTCCCACATAAACACCAGTCAAATGGCATCAGTTCCTTTCAAAACAAAGCCTCACAAGTGAACTTAAGTTATATGGATGTAGGTTTTTTTATATATATAATATTCAATGATATGTACAGGTAATCCTCAAGTTGCAACTGATTGATTACTGACCATTCAAAGTTACAACGGAACTCCACCAAAAGCTACTTAAAATCTTAAGAGAATTAACAGAGCTGGAAGGGACCTTGGAGGTCCAACTCCCTACACAAGAATGAGACCCTGATTTCAAAGTTACACTTTATACGACTGTATAAACCTTCACAGTCATGTGATCACATTTTGGTAGCTATTCACCTTAATGGCTATTTGGAGTATCCTGCAGTCATATGCAGTCATAATTTTTGACATTTTTTGCCAGTTTCCAGAGTTTACTTCCAGTTGCAGGCAAAAATGCCCATTGGGTAAAATGGATTTGGAAATGGAAATGCTGGAAATGTCTTAATTTATGATTGCAACAATTTACAACTATAATTCTGGGCTCAAATACTATTGTAATTTGAGAACTACCTGTAGACATTTGTGACATTAGCATTTCATGTTATGTGTACTTTGTTAAAAACGTTTGTGCAATTGCATTATGTAGTGAATGAAGAACATAACGTATGAGAAAATATACAATTATATTTTTACTGTGAAGGATAGAATAAAGAGCTTTGTTTCCATTTGAAGCATTGCTCTGTATAAAGGTATAAAAAAGTCTTGTTAGTTAGTATAAAAGTCCTGTTAATTATGATTTGAGATTATTCCAAAATTATGGATTAGGAAATATATCAAGAACTAACCAAAACTGTAGTGATTCAATACTTCCATTTATTCTTTCTATGGTGCTGTTACAGACTTAATGAAAGTTTCAATAGTTTGAATGGAAATGGCAACTTTTCAATAAATAAATATAATTAAAAATGCCCACCTTTGGCCAGAAAGAAATATGACTTTACATTTACAAATTTATATACTGTACAAGTGTAAACATTCATATTAGTCCTCCCCCAATCTTCCAATATTTCTAAAATCAGCTTAATAGTGTAGCCACATCCCTCTCTACTTAGGAATAAATCCTATTAATGGGAGTTCTATGGATATAGAATTACAGCTTTAATGTTTTATTTTTTGACCATCTAAACAAAAATAATTATTTATTCTTTAATTTATTCTGTATTGAAGAAAAGGGGCATGCATAAGCGCACCAACGTGCCTTCAGTCCTTGTCCTAATGTCCCCATTTATTCGTATTCATTTCATGTATTCATAATCATGTCTATACTTATATATGTTATCTTATACATGCTTGACCAATAAATAAATGAAATAAATGAGAATGAGAATGAGAATGAGTGAGCAATTCTCAGTCCAATAAGTGCAGCAAAGGTTTAAAGCAGACCAGAGTTGGCCTCCAAGTATTAGCTAACTAATGAAAAGGCCTTAAGTCACTCAAATTGTCATGCTTTACAATGTTGGATAGTCTAAAGAAAGAACACAACTATTTCAGGTGTTCATGGTTTAACAATTCAAAAATTGTAAATTACACTTGTTCCAAATCTGAAGCAGCAATTCTTTCCCCAACAGCTGAAGTTTATTCATACTCATAAAGAAATCACCAACCCGTCTCCCAAATAATCTTTGGGTCTTTTGCCAGAGTGAATATATTATATTTTGCCACAGACAAAGAAGGTTCAACTTCATCACTCGTATTATTTTTAAAGAAATATGCTTAAGCCATTACTAACAGCAACTTAAATAAAGTTAATATTTATGCCTTTGATTTGGGGGCTGATATATCTTTAAAGTCATAATGCCTGGCAAACAAAATTTTCTCTGATACCAGCTAGGCTGCTGGTAGCTCAATATTGGAAGAAGGACTCTTTGCCTACTATTGAAGAGTGGATATTGAAAGTAACAAACCTAGCAGAAATGGCGAAAATCTCAGCGTACTTGAAGGACCACGAGCAAGAAAGATAGGTATCGGAATGGAGAAGATGGATTGATTATATTCAAAATAAGTATCAGACAAGAAAATATCAAATAGCTTATGAATGAATGTTAGTATTAGAAGTATTAGGTTATCTATAGTGGAGTTAAGGTTTCAGGGGGGATGTTAGTACTTTGAGGATAAGTAGATTAATCTAGTTTATGATTGATTAAATTAAATACCTTGTATTTTGCTCTGGGAAGTCTGGGGGGAGGGGGGATGAAGGGGGGGAAAGGGTGGGGGGAACATGGGGGGGAAATTTTTTTGTATTTCTTCTTTGTAAAACTTTTCAATAAAAAAAAAACTTTATCTGATAAAAAGAAAATTGAACAAGTTGCTAGTTCTGCAGTCTTCCTAGAATTCTAGATCAGCTGTTATCCTTCCTTTTCCAAAAAGAAACATGTGCCACAGAACTGCTTACAAGTTTCAATATTATGCAGAATATTAAAATATCTCTTTTTCTAATACTCTAGTGATTTTGAAGGATGTCTTTTAGAAAACCATACATATAGTGTGTTGGAAAAAGGAAGCTATTAACTATATTAAAACTAAAAGAATTACTAATAAAAACCATCAATACTTCCAAAACTAAGTAATGTTAAAATTACCTCATCATTTAGAAATCATTTTAGATAAAATACTATATTTATATTTTATACAATTTATATTTATTATCTATCTTGAAAAAAAATCAGCATTACATTATTAGATACCATAGGTCATTCTTCAGAATGACCTATGATTAGTACCTGTATTTTACATTTAAAGTATTGGACCAGAGGACAGCTTATTTGTTAAACTACTGTATTTATTCACATACAATATACAATTTTATCTTTGAAAAGCTTGGAAAAAACTTGTCTTCCTTCTACCCTCTCAAACTTCTAAACAGGATAATGATGAAATTTCTGTGATAACCTAGTTTCCTCTGCAATGGATTTTAGATGTTAATATATAACCACACAAACGGTCATGTATTCCTATATCACGATTATAGTTATAATGCACTGAAGATTTATTACTTCTAGCAACACAAACACTGAATATATAACAGAACAATGGTACCTATGCCAAATAAAGTGCAAATTATAGATATGGCGTTTTTAGAAAACAATTATAATGATAATGATAAGAGCCCCTCTCCTCCAAAACCATCCATTTATGCTAAGGTGGAGTAGCCCAATACTTGTGTTGGAAATGCAGAAAGGCAGCTTCCACTGTTTTAATATATACGGGTAGCCCTTCATTTCTAACAGCAATTGGGACTAGAATTTTCGTTAGTAAGCAATGCGGTCATTAAACATGGTTGTCAGACAAGGCAACTTTCTGAGAACTTCCTACAACCAAGTCAGTGAGCAAGATGGCTTGCATGCAGGCCGGCAAGCAGAATCTAATATAGTACATATTGGCCAGAAAAACCTAGAGTCTACACTCCAAAACCAAGTAAGTTTTCTCACTTCAAGAAATTTGGATCTGATGTAGAACTCCAACCCTTACAGTTTGTATGTTCCAAATGTCTACACTGGGTTAACTTAATATCTTAGCCCAATACAACAGATGGAAGAGGAACTCTTTCAAAAAAAGGAACAGACTGTATGCTAGTTTTTAAATTTTTCTTTCTCTATCTTTTCATCTGTTTCACTTTGTGCTATGAAGTACAACCTTAAAGAATATAGAGTTTTATTTTTAAGAGTGGAGAATATCACAAACCACAGGGAATTGCATGAGAAGGTGATAAATGGCCTTTCTAGCTTCACCAAATGAGTGGAAAAAGTGTTATTATGGAATACATAGCATAATATAATTTGAAACTATTTAAAAATATAAAAACTGACCATGTGTTAAAGTAAAAATGAAGTGAACAGTTTGTCCCTGGCCAAACATAATAGCACACATACAAGAAATGCTTCTTATATTCAATGCCATAAACATACTGGAAATTGGCACTTTTTCTTTCTAGAAAAATATATCCTTTCACATTGATATGCTTCCTAAATTAAAAATATGTTTGGATTAGGGGGCAAATATATCATTATATAATAAATATTTACCCAAAAAATCTTATGACTATTACAATCAGACTACATATTTAGACTTACTTAAATGAATCTACCTACTTCTACCTGCCTACTTCTGACTATCTATCTACCTACTTCTGACTAATTTAAAATTATCAGAAGGCTGTGCCTTTCTTTGCTAGTACCAAAGAAAAGCAACATGTGCAAAGAGTTAACTTGGCGTAAAATCATTCATATGGTATATTTACGGTAACTCATCTGAATTATTTCAAACTACATAAATATTGCACGTCCCAATGCTAGTAGATTTATGGAGGGAACATAACTGAACCATTAGGTTTGTCATCTTGAGTGAACATGCTAAATAGATTCTGCCTGTTAATGATGCTCTGTGTATCTGCCACTACAATTCAACTATGACATACACGGCGCAGTCAGACAGATCAGAAATACTGTATTGTTTCTATGTCTTATCGTAGCCATTAACTAAAAGCTGCACAATGCAGCAAATTATGTGGGAGTACATTCCTCATTATTGCCTTCAGAAACTTAGCAAGTTTCCAAATATGTTAAATCCCAACACTATGATTTCAAATATTTGGTCTTCCTCATTCCCTGGTTATTGTAAAATACTACCTGATCAAGAGTTTGAACAGCTTGAAAAATTAATACTTTTTGTATGATTTTGGTAGGCCTTAATAAAAATATAATCAGGCATGTTGAGCCTAATAAAAGTATTGCTCAATTCTGGACTAATCTGCTGTACTTTTTTCATCTTATTGATATACAGGATTAAAACACAAAATTATTATAAACTTGGCATAAATGCTGTGCACAAAGAAAATAACTTTTAGGTCAGAAAATAACAGTTAGGTCATAATCTCTACTTAAAAGGCCAAGATATGAACAAACTGCAGAAGAAATAAATATATTATATCTAAACAAAATAACTAGTATTTCATATCATTAGAATTGATAGTCATTGACCAAATAACATCACTATCCCTCCTGAATATTAAGGTGAAATTCAATACTTCTTTTAAAGACATCATTCTATTTAAATTAATTTCTTGTCATAGATGACAAGAAAGCATGTTATGTAAGATCTGAAGTGAGTATATAAATTCCAAAATTGGGGTATACAAATTGTGCAGTTTACCATTTAATATTCTAATGACCTTAATCATTAGTTTGACCTTAATCTTGACTTCAAAATGGTGGGGAATAAGGGAGACAATGCAATACAATAAGGCTTGTCGAAAATGTTTTAATTGTCAAATGAAGCTATTTAGAAAATAATTGTAAAATATTCTGTTTTTCCTGAATGTGTAGATTCTTCCTAGATAACAATCTTAAAATCTCTCTATAACATAATTCAAAAATTAACTGCAGTATACAACGTTTTAGATAATTAGCAATAGGGTAGAAACTGGAAGACCATGCATTTTAGTTCTACTTTAGGCACAAAGCCAGCTGGGGAACCTTGGGCCAGTCTCTTTCTCTTAGGCTCAGAAACGAGGCAATGGAAAACTGCTTCTGAAAAACCTAGTCAAGAAAAACTGCAGGGATTTTTTCAGGCCGTCTCAAAGAACTGGACAAGAGTCAATGGAAGGGGGGGGGAACCTCCTTTGTTTCATAATTTAAGTATTTACCATAATACATTAAACATAAATAAAAATGGTTTATGATAAAATCTGTGAAACTTCATTCCCAAGGTTTTAATCAATTCATTATTTTTTTTAATATCCAATGCTCTACTTTACTACTGCAGCTGAAAATATAGATACACCTCACTACTTCCCAACTAAGTGGCCTTTTAGGAGGATAATTGATACTTGGGACAAATATGTCTAATAAGAAAATGTAAACATTTCAGAAGGACTGCTTCCAAGTGCTGCTTTCTATATTCTGAAAAATTAGAAAATTAAATATATCCCAATTCAATAATGAATGGATGGATCCATTATCACATCCCTGTACTAAACTTGTTTAATAGTGTTTATTAAAACACTGCATCAAAAGCTAGATAGCATAGGCCAGGGCTACGGCCAAGCTGGCCATGCCCACGCCCAGTTTAGCGAAAGGAGGAAAAGTCCCAATACATCACGTGACAACGCCATGATCACATGAGTTTGACAAATATGGCATAGAAGTTGAAATGGTGGTTTTATTCTATGAGATATCCATTCAACCAGGAGTTCACTGTGCAATTTTAAGCAGTTACTCTAAGCCAAACCACCCATATAGGATTTTTGTTATGGCATAAAGCTGTCTTGTATTGTTAGAAAAAATGTGGAAATATAAAGAAGGGAAAGATATTTAATAAATAAATAAATAAATAAATAAATAAATAAATAAATAAATAAATAAATAAATAAAATACTGTACCTGTATGTTCCAAAATACCACACCCAAGAACATTTTTGTGTGTATACACACACATACACACATTGTACTGTGTATGGAATAACAGGATATCATGTAATATGAGTAGAAAAATAAAAGAAGCAACATATCTCCAAAGATACAGTATATTCTTAGAATCAGGAATGTTACACTGTGGAGAACATCAGAAGTTCACGGGCTCTGACATCAAGCCATACATCTTGCAATCAATAAATCAGACAAGAAAGTACCACATCTCTCAAATCATCCATCCAAATAATACTTCTTGTTCCCAGATTATTCTACCATTGCTTATTGTCACTATATATTCAACGTAGATCAAGTTACAGTATAAGCAATGATTTACAAGCCATATTTTCAAAATAAAATAATCCAAAAAAACCATACTGATTTCACTCTCTTGTAAAGTTACTAGTGCATAATCCATAATTCACAGTTGTTCTCATCAAATTGGGGAAAAAAACATTTTAAACTACATATGAGCAATGAACTCTTATGAGCAATCCTATAAATTCTCATTGGCTTTGGCTTGATACTAATTGTACTTATGAGGTAGTTACGTGAACTATTAGTGGAGATTTTAAGATAACCTTTTAAAAAAGGGTTGGATAACATGCAACCTCTAAAGTTGGTACTCAATAAAACCATTAGCTCCAGTCAACAAGAACACTGGAAGATTATGGAAGCCAAGGTTTGGTTACATCTTCTAAAACCACAGATTTGCAACACCTACAAAAGATTACATTTCCAACACAAGACATATAAAAATAACACTTACTCTGTTTTCCTTCTCAGTTTGTCCTCAAAAATATCATTTAAATTAATTGCCACTTGTCCCAGAAACTTATCAAGCCCAACAAGAGACCTATGCATGACTATCAGATAGAGAATGTATTTTTCAGAGTTCCCTTCCATCAGCAATCCAGGCAACTCAAACGAAGCTTCTTCTTTCCATATTGGATCAAGGGTCTTCTCTGCCACCGAAGTAGAGTATTTCTCTTTTCCCAATTGTATGATAGTGTATGTATCATTAGTGCCACTTTTGCCCTTTGGCTTGAGACTTTTGGCCTGAAGGACTGTGACCTGCACATGAGTTGGGAACCACTTTTGAGCTTGCTCGGCCAACATAGTAACAAAAGGGGAGGGGGGATTTTGAGTAACAATAGCCACAGAAATAAAATACTGGATCAGAAGGTATATTTCACAACAGGGAAGCCTGATAGAGCCTTTCAGAGAACTAAGCAACTCTCATTTTTGAGATTCTTATTCATTCAGCATCATTAAACAAAGTGGGCCAGGTTCCCTAACCTAGTTGAGCATCCCTTCAGATTATTGTCTCCAAATGTTAATTTCCAGCATACCTCTGCAATCCTAGAAATAGTTCTGCTTTTCCATACTTCTCTATACAGGACAGTATATATTTGATTTTGTGCTCTACCCACCCTATTTTCACTCACACCCAAGGCCGACCGGAGACTAACGGGCTTTAAATAAAAAGAAAACTACACCTCCTCCCTCCTTCCCCGCTTTCCCCAGTACAATTTGGCACTTGCCCTGGCTAACACCCGTCAAGATTCCTCTGCATGCTAGCAAAGCAACCTCCTACACCTCTTTACAACACGGGGGAAGGGGGTGTCGGGCAAGACTTTGGGTCTGCCGAAGGCACCGAAGCAGCTCCTGCCGAGGTAAACTGGACCCGGTCCACCGGGGGCTCTGCCAGGCCGCCCTTGCCCGGTAACGGCTTTTCTGGGGGGGGGGGGGGGGGTCTCCCCCGGTATCCCCGGGGTGGGGGGGGAAAGGGTGGGGGGAGCGTCGAGAGAAAGAACGCCTCGGAAAACGGGCAAGTCGTGCGGACGTTCAGCAGCGCGGTAGCCCAGCCGCCTCCCTTCCTTCGGCCGAAACGCTCCAGCCGCCGAGCCGAGGCCCCACTTCCGCCTTCCCCATGTTGCCTAAACGGGCGCCGCTGAGTGGGAGCGAGGGAACGGCGCCGCCTCTTTCCTCGGGCGGTCAGAGGGCGAAGGGTAGGGTTCAGGCGGGCCAGACGCTTCCCCTGCCCTGCCTCGCCGGCTTCCAGTGGGCCCCGGGAGTGGGGGGGTAGGGGTGGGGGGGGGGGACGGCCGGGGAGAAATCCCAAAGGATGGCGTGGTCCCTCACAGCTCGCGCAGCCCGGCGGCCTCGCGAGCCGCACCTCAGGCCACCGGATTGAGCCCCTAGGCGGAAGGCAGGACCCCCCGCATAAGGACCGCTTCCAAGCTGGAGTGTATATTTGGTGGAGGTTTGACTTCTGCCTTCTTCTTTCTCCTTCTCCTTCTTTTCGCCCTGCCTTTGAGGGGTTGCAATGCAGTAAACGTTCCAAAGGGCTTGCGATAGACTCGGTTTTAAAGATATTCCTGATTGGTTCGTAAAAACTTTTTTTTTTTTTTTTGTCTCGGTCATGCTGAAGTATCAAAAGACGCTACACAATATGGGCGAAGTTGTGAATCCGCACAAGAAGGGCAAGCGAATTGCAGTGAGAATGGAAAATAAACTGATCGGGAATAGCATAGAAAATTTAAAAAGAAGGGGAAAAAACGAGTTAATGATATATGCTGACTGTAATGGAGTGGCGGACATGATAATGAAACTCGGAAACGCTTTCAAAAATGATGAATTTTGTTGAGTTGGTGTAGTTTAATAGTTAAGGTATTCAGTGAGAACCAGATTCAGGTGCCATCTCTCCTTAAAAATCACGAGGTGACTTGGGGCCAGTTTTAGTCAGCTCAATCTGTCCAACCGAATGGATATGGAAATTAAATGGAGATCCAAATATGTCAATTTCTGGCCCATAGGATGATGATGAAGATGACAACTCAAAAAAGTGGAGAGTCCCCAAGCAACAATATTTTAAAAAAGCCATGATTGAAATAATAACAGTGAGATCGGTTGGGATTCACACTTGAATATAGGGACCATGATGAAGGCCTTGCAAGAAAATCACAAATTTAAAAATAAAGCCATGTTCATTTAACTACTCTAGGAAAACATATTTCAAAACATGAAACCAATAAAAGTGTATGCATTCTCCAAATAACTTCTAGATGATGGAACACAGGTATGTTGACCTGCAAGGTAATCTGTAAATTAGGCATTCTGGCTTCAATAAACTACTGTGGTGTGACTGTGGTTGGGATAAAATTGGACTTTTGCTTGTATACTTGCTGTCAGGATTCACTGGTACTGTTGTTGCAGTTAGCTAGAAATATTATATGGGGCATTAATGTGATTATGGGTAGTAGTCTAGTCTACATCTTTTATTGAATTTGTTATGTGAAAGCTTTAATTAACCAAAGCTCTGATAGGCAGCAGAGGTTAATATTTGTGGCCCTATCGTTGTGCTGGTGTACTATTAAATATTTACAGAATCTCAGCAGTTTATTTTAATTAAAAGATAATTCAGTAGAAATTAAAATGTCTACTGTAGAAAATAATAAGAGTATCCTGAAGCAAAATACATAATACTGATCAATGTCTGGTGCAACCGATGAGGTCTCTTTGACCAACCTTCAGAAGACCATCAGTGGGGAAACTGTTCTTAAGTGTAGGTGGTACGTCTGAGATACTATTTTTACTGTCCTTGAGACCCTCCTGATGCCCCTATTCTAATTCTGCAGGTGGCAGTCTTATTTGGCAAATAGTACATATAATGCTATCCATATCCAAATCACAATATAATTTCTCTGATTTGAAAATGAGATCCAGCATACATTCACTGGCATGTATCAATCCATGACAATGGTATGATTACTTTGGAGGCCATGAACTCTGGCATTTCCTGAACAATTGGACATAGAGGTTGAAGTCACTGAACACCAAAAGGTAAGGAGACAAACTTCAGTCTAGATGTTTATCTAAGAAAGATAAAGGGAGGAGAGCAACAAAATATCTGGTGTACCAGTAAGATCACAGTTTGTCTCTATGACCCAATATAGGCATTCACGTAGGTTATCTCATCAATAGGATCATGGAATATAAAAGTGTCATGTAGGGTCAATATAATTACCCATACAGCCTTGAGCTCAAGTTGCAGGACCAAAAGTCCAGAAATGAGGGGGGCAAACGGTGCATAAAACCAGGAGAAAGTGAAAGATTTAATGGCTCTGAAGGAAAGTGTTCTGATCTAGTGGAATGCAGTGAATGAAATAAAAAGGATCTGAGCTGTATGGAGACTCATCTATGAATGAATGGCTTAATGAAGACTTGCTTCAAAAAATATGTTTTAAACAAATTAATTCACCTGGGAATAAAGTAAAAGGAATAAATCAAAAGGCTTGATTATTTTTTATGATGCAAGACTGAGACCATTAGTGAACAATGAGAAGTTCTGAATGTGGGACAGAACATTCCTGATAGTATCTAAAGTAGATCTTTTAAAAAATGAATATTAAAAAATACTAGTAAAAGAAAGTAGAGTAAAATGACAACTAATACAGGAAGGGAAAGTATTGGAGTAGTAATTTAGAAGCTAAATTAATTTCCCAACAGAATGAATGGAAATTAAATAAATAAAAGTAGATGCAAGGAAAGAATGTGGAAGCTGCATAAAATAGAGTGCAGAGAGGTGTACTGCCAGAGAAGTGTGTGGAATTAACACTAATAAGTATTGTATGAAAAAGGATATTTGATGGAGTAATGATAAAAAAAGACTGGATGAGAAAATGCACAAAAAAGAATGATATTAAGATATTAATATGCCTAGAAGGTATTGATATGCAGAGTGTATATAAAAAGATATTAACAAAACTCGGAGAGTGAATGCAGAGCGTTTTTTAATGAAATTGGTAAGAAGACTATACATGCCTTCAACAAAATCAATGTAATAATAAAAAGGAAATCATTTCTAATGAATGGAATAAAGAAGGAATGTTCAACCTTGGCAACTTTAAGACGTCTGGACTTCAACTCCCAGCATACCCCAGCCAGCCATGAGATGACTTCAAATTGTTTCACTTATGATCTGAGGAAGAGATGAAAACAATGCTATGCAACCAAGGGGAAAGATCAGCATAATAACATATTTACTGCATGTTTGAATGAGTAGAGAGATAATTTGCATACTTGCCTAACTTTGAACTGTGTTAGATCTTTTTAGCTTGATTATCTTTCCCTCCATTAAGAAGGCTAGTGTTTCTGCAATCTTTAAACCTCTTTATTGGGGGGAGGGGAATCATTGTTTGCTGTAAAACAAAGCTTGAGTTTATGGTCTGAGGATTGCTGGTTCACTCTTCTGGAATTAAAAAGGCAAAATGTATGTGTGATAACCACAAATGAATCTAATAATTACCCAGTGCACAATTAGATGAGGTAATGGGATTTAACTCAACAGACCACAAAACCACAATGTTAGCCTGCAGAACTTTGAAAAATGTGCTCACATCATCAGCCCTTGGTAAGCATGCATTTCTGCCTATAAACTCAGGTAAATGGGTTCTGAAATATTTGTAAGGTAAGGCAAAATGAAAAGCTTATATTGTTTCAATGGTAGGAGGAATATATTAGTACATTTTCAGCATGTGTATGTGAATGTGTGTTTTTGTAAGGGATTTATGGTACATTCAGGAAAATAATTGCAAAATTGAACAAGTCTACACTTAGACTCAGTTACGGGGGCACTGTTGGAAGACCTAAAAGACAAGTTTAAGGACAGATCTTCAATCAAATAACCCAGCTGTATGATTGCTAAAAGTCACCAATCATATTTTATGAAAATATTTTGGTTGCTTAAAAATGATTTCCCAGTATATAGAAATATATATCTACTGGATGCAATCACATTTTCCCTTAACTGAGCAATATTAGATTTTTGATAATGAAATATATCCAAAGAGTGTTTCGGCAGAAGCTTTGGAAAGATGTCAGCTAATGACATTAATAAATTCATGGGTACTTTTTAAATCAAATGATAGCTTGCTTGTTTATGCCTTAATGTATAACCTCAGTGATCAAGGTTAGTAAACATTATTGAGTAAATTAGTTAAAAAAGACCAGGATATAAATTGTATGAAAAACAGCTGTAGATGTACGGATCTGGAGACCCATAAAAGTTAAATGCCATACTTCAATTACAAAGTAATGACTAAAAATGTGAAATGAAATTAAAATAAAACCTTAAAATATTGATTACTTGAGAAATGTAATATTCTTTACTTAAAATATTAGTAAAAAATGACAGCTATTTATTTGATTTCATTTAATTCTGATTTTTACATTTTTAAGTATTTTATAAGGAATATAAACTCTAAATTAATAAAACACTCCCCAATATTCCTTTTTATAAAAAAAGCAATTAATGCTTTCTGATAAATTAATATTTCTTTTGATAAAATCTTTTGTGTACCAAAAACAATGAATACTAAACAAATTTTTCCCATAAGGAATGAATAAATTTAATGTGTCCCCAAACCAAAGACCCATGATGAAGAAAATAAGCACAAAAATACACAAAATGACTACAGAAGCTAAGCTAAGGCCTCAAGGAAATGCGCACAGGGCAAGAGCTACTATATGACTAATGTGTGATCCTTTGTTTTGGCTGGAAAGGGTGGCAAATCATGAGGCAATTCATATTGACAAAGTCTAGCTTGCACCAAACACAATGAGTACTGGGACAAAATTTTCATGTCAAAATATGTCAAAACCCAAATTTGGCCAGTTTCAAAGCTGATCGAGTATTACGGTATGACTGTGCCTCAAGTAGGCTAACTTACAAAATGTGTCCAATCCAATTAGTCCAATGTGTTGTGATTCATGGTCACAAAGGAATGAAATTTTGTACACTTGTGGCTATTTCAGTGCTACAGGCTGTTGCTGGGCTGCTGTTGCAATCATGATCTTCATTTTCAAGATTCCATGACAGTTTCTCACCCAGTGTTGCAATCCCTCACTCTCTCCAACTTACCTGGCTGCTGGAAAGGGAAAGGAAAAGAAAAGGAGGGAAGAAGGGAGGGAGGAGAGGAGAGGAGGGAAAGAAAGAAGGGGGGAAGGAAGGGAGGAGAGGGGGAGAGAGGGAAGTAAGGGAAGAAGGGACAAAGGGAGGAAAGATTTCTGATTCTCCCTGCCTGCTTCCCAGAAGGAAACTCAATGGGGAAACCAGTAGAATTTTAAAGGCACTTTTTTAATATGGTATACTTGGAATCAATGTTTGTTCAAATAAAAGAAAATATAGAAAAGTAATTTATTTTGATATATTGCCATGTTTATCCAAGTGCACCTACCATTTAAAACTTTTCTGTTCACAAAATGACCTCTCTTTTTTTCAGTAACCTCTGTAGACTGAGTTTTCAGTTTAGTAAAGATCCCGGATGAAAATTAAAACCAGCTGGTGCTATTATATCAGTTTAATCCACTCAAAATAACATAAGACGAACAGTAAATTATTTGGGACGATTTGGTTTGTATTAGAATTAAACTTAATTGCTGAATTGCTTAATTTCTCTTGTTAAGTGGGACATTTGTTAAGTGAATTTTGCCCCCATTTTACGACCTTTCTTGCCACATTTGTAGTAGTTAATGAGTAACATGGTTGTTAAATGACTTTGCAAAATTGACTTTGCTTTTCAGAAGGTTGTACAAAATGATTACCTGACCCCAGGACACGACTTAAATATGAGTCAATTGACAGGCATCCGAATTTTAGTCACATGATCATGAGGATGCTGCAACGGTCATAAGTGTGAAAAATGATCACAAATCACTTTTTTCAGTGCTGTTGTAACTTAGAATGGTCACTAAACGAACCGCTGTAAATTGAGGACTAACTATTAAAAGAAATACTTTCCTTAGTTGTTGGCACCTATCAATTTTAAACTTTGAAAATACTCTTGAATTCACATCATAACAAATTCTATCTATTTCTAGGACTAACATGAGGTTAAAAAGTTCATCGTATCAACATATTATTCTGCTTTATGACTTATTTAAATGTTAAAACAATAGGTTAATTCACTCACCCACAAACACATGATGTTGGGCCTGAGATGTAGGGAATGTAGATTGAGTCTAAGATGCTTACGAAAGAATGGCAGATGTTACATTCCAAACATAATAGCACAGGGTTCACAGCCAAATGCTGTTTGAACCATCCATCTCTCTGAATTATGAAGTAAATTGATCTACACACTTTGGAC